TATATCTTTTTTTTCTCATTAATTATTGAAAATATCATCAATTTCATCAATTTTCTTTTAAACTCGACTACTTTTTTTATTGACAATTGAGCCCTGATATGAGCATTTTTGTTAATCATAAATCTTTCTATAAGAAATGTTGTTCTCATTGTTGTTCCGACTTTCGATACGAAAGTAACGGAATATTTGTGCTCGGGGTGGGTTTTTTTTTCTTCAGACAAATTTCGACTTTTTAACTAGCTATTTTTGACGGAATTTTTTAATATCATTCAAAAGGTATTGTTGTCCTGAGCTTAAATTTGAAAAGATATTTTACCTGTGATCATTTTTCGTAAAGTTATGGGGGTTTAAAGATTTTCGTTTTGGCCAATTTGGGACAATTAAAGCGCGATGTATTTCGCGCTATTAACGCGTAAGCGGAGATTTAATCCGTCATAGAAATCGTTGCAAATTGGTTGAAAGAAGCTTATTTGCCATAATTGATTTGTTACAAGGAGCGAATATTATCCTTTTGTACTTTATATGGCGTGTGGGGGGATGATTTTCATAAAAAAAATTCAAATTTTAGAAATTTTTTTTTTTTTCATTTTATTTTATTTCATTTTAATTTTTTAAATGTTTTTACTGCTCCATAAACCTTAAAAGGCAGTCGGAACATTCAGGGCTTTGCCCTGATACGAGCAGTCTTGTTTCTTTTTTTGCTTTTGTTTGCTACGAGATATTTTGGCCTATCATTCATGACATACACGTCAAATTTAAGTTCATTGTTGTACAATTTGACGTAAGCAACAATATTTTAAACTAAATTAAAGTATCATAGTATAATGTTGGCTGCTGAAACTTCCAGACTTAAAAAAGTTCTTCCAGGCCTGATTAGGCCGTAGCGAGCAGCAGAATTCCTATGATTTTTTTACCCACATATTTTTGGGTACAATTTTTTTTAGTTATTGCACCTCTAGATCGACTACTCGCTGCCCGCATAAACAGTTTGCCTAATAAGACCTTAAATTGACTTACAGTACGTCTTTCTTTCTTGAAATGTTAAAACTATTGTAGCATCGATGCTACATTAATTTCAACATTCCAAGTAAAAAAGGCGAACTGTAAGTAAATTTAAACGTCATACTAGGCAAACTGTTTATACTGGCAGCGAGTAAATGCTCTTGAGGTGCAATTTAAAATCTGTAAAACAGTTGAAATTCTGTGAAAGAGGTAGCAAAGGCCATTCGACTGATAGTTCTGTCTCTGCTTTAAATCTGGTTTCATTAAGATCAAATTAGTCTGGCTGTACGTGAGCTTCCAAGACATGTGTGAGAGGCATGCATTCAACCATCGCCAACAATTTATCAAGCTCTTTTCAAGGGGGGATTAAAGGGATTGTAAAACAGGTATTGAGTGGGAAAAAACAATTAACATTTTTCTGTTTTTTTTCTCGATATTTTAATTAATCGTAACTGAGCCGCAGCCTCAATGTTCAGCAAGGAAAATTGAGTTATAACCAGGGGCGGATCTAGGATTTTTTCGAGGGGGGGGGACGGATTTTCAAAAAAAATTTTGAAAATTTTGTCAATTTTTTTTTATTAGGTCGACCAAATTGATTTTTGAGCTCTCCCACAGCACTACAAAGATCCTGTTTTGGCCAAAATATTCTTGCACCGCAGGCAAAATTAAAAAAAAAACAGGCCAAAAAAGGCGTTTTTAGGCACTTTTAGGAAAATTTTTACCAAAAAAAATCGCGTTTATTTTGGCGCGCGTTCCCCCCATTAAAATTGGTATATATTGGCGCCAAAATCAAAATAGTACAAAAAGGGGACACTTTGGGGGTTGAATCCCTGAGGAGGGGCGTCCCCCCCAAACCGCCCCTGGTTATAACCATCCCCCAGCTGAAACCTAGAATAAAGTTTCCACATCTTTAAAGGACTATTTCAGCGGTTAGACATATACGACTTTTCTACTTGAACAAACTCCCACTTTTCTGAAGGAGTAGAAGAATCATAAACTGTTTTTTAGATTATGAACCTGATTCACCTGTTTCTATGATCAAATAACTTTTTAAAGCCATGAAATACTTGAAGTATTTGAAAGTAAGTTATAATCGACGGTCGGATAGTAAGACTGTGACGCGTATTTTGGGTTTAACTTCAATTTTATTTTTACTTACAAATTAGTTTCAATAAAACAAGAAGAGAGCAAAAAGGTTTTTTTGTGTGTTTGAAATAATTGAGTGCATTATGAAGCTTTTAAAAATTAGTGGAAAATACAAAGTTTGAAAAACAAATGGAGCTTCAATTAGAATGTTCTGCTTTTATGGCCGACATATTAGGTCTACAAGTCATACCAACACGTCATATCTAGCTGACATGGGTATATTCTGTTCTATGAATAACTTTTTAGACTTTCATTAAAAAGTCAATTTAAATTTCAGTACGTCAGAACCTTTTTTGTCGTGAATCTATTCGCTCAGTTTTTTAAGTCCGTTTTCTATAGATTTGCTGATAGGTCACTTTGGTCCAGGTTAACAATAAATTATTAAAAACCTTTCCAGTAAAAGCCCGAGTTTGAGCTCGATTTTTGTAAAGCGAACAACACAGTGCTTCATCGCCACTTTTCTACCCGGCAAAATCTTTATTCTAGATGAAGTTGACTCTGGAATCCAATAAAAATGGAAAATTTTTGCCACCGAAGTTTTGAGACAAGCACGTGTTGCACGAAATAGCGACGTAATCCAATACCCCCTACCCCCTTTTACTCAGTACCCCTTGTTTTGATTTTCAACTCTGAAAAACTCTTTCATTTCTTAATAATAAAATGAAGCTAGGAATGGTGAAAAAAGAAATCTTAGTGAAGTATTAGGAGAAATAACAGATTGTAAGGGATTTCTAAACCATAAAAATTCCATTTTAATTCATTAAAGCTTGAAATAGACTTCAAATCCATTTTAAATCTTTTTTTTTGCATATAAAAGTTTCAAAATTATATGCAACTTTGCAGCATTTTCTGCATTACTCACGGTCTGTTCAGACCGGCAGAAAAAATATATTTCTCCTTAAAGGGAATATAGTTCAAATTGTCAATTGCATCAAAATTAAATTAAAAAATGAGAAAGGAGCGTATAGATAACAAGACACCCTTAATATTCCGAAAGAGTTTTTATTTTATTTGTAATAGAGTTCGAGTTTGATTTTCAATTTTTCTGGAATAGAGTTCGATAATGCTGAAATTTTTGAGAAAAAAAAGACTTTTTATAAAGTTTGATTTTTCTGAAAATCATCTTCCACATGCTTTTTGAAGTACAAACTGATATATTTTGAGACACTATCGTATAAATTAGAAGAATTTGCATGCTTCAATACAGTTTGGAAAGGTTTTTGATCCCAATGAAATCCCCGCTTACGCTTTAATAGGTTTAATTCCCGAAACTGGCAATGGTTTCCGGAATACTCAGGACTAGAACACATTTTCGCGGTGCCAGCGTTTTAAGATATTTTCACTACACCATCTGTTCAGAACAATAGACGAGCTCCCACTCGACTTCTAGTATAAGGTCTACCAGAGCATGACCAATTTGGACTGCAATAATGGTACCACATGAAAGTTCTAGATGCAAAAACAAACCACCTTAAGTCGCAATAACGAGCGTCGCTCAACAAAATAACCGTGTGGAATGTGGGGAGATAATACAATCGGATTATCCGTCGGCAGGCCTGATAAAACTTACTATTAGCTCCTCTGCGAGTCACAAGCATCACAATTTTTTTACAATTATTTTTATTAGCATTAGGTATTTACCACAAATTGGCCTAAATGGCAGATTTCAAACACTCATAGCCCTCAGCGAAAATGATCACAGCACAAATATTTTTCCGAGTTTTCCTATACAGTCACCAAAAGTCGAAATGACAAGACTGCTCGTACATCAATGCGAAGCCCTGAATATTCAGGCTGCACTTTAGCGCAAATTAACAGAACAATTGAACAATTGATTTAAAAAATCTAAAAAATGGTATTAAAAGGTATTTTGAACCTTTTTTCTTCATTTTATAAAAATGACTCCTCTTCAATAATATACTACCAAATGACTCAACTCCACTGTCAATATTCAAAACCCTTTAAATTTGCAAAAAAGATCACAGTTTAATTATTATTTTTAAACTTGGGCTTAAAACATCAATAGTTTTCAGATGATAAAAAAAGGATAGTCAAAAACGGCTAGTTAAAAAGTAAAATTTTCTGAACAAGAAACCACCCCAAGCACGAACATTCCGCCACTTTCTTCTAAAATAGTCGGAACGATAACCAAACATTTAAATAAAACAAGACTGCTCCTATATCAGGTCGAAGCCCTGAAAGTTCTGACTGCATCCCTCAAATCCAATTTAAAATTTAATTTTTTTCAATTTAGTTTAATTTGAAACGCATTACTTAACCGCGTAGTCATTTTTTAAGAACGCAATATATCGCGCGTTAATTATCCTAAAATGGACAAATTAGCACTTTTCAAACCCCCATAGTTTTACAAAAAATAGTCACAGGTGAAACATCTTTTCGTTTTTGAGCTCAAGAAAACAATATCTTTCAGATGGTATAAGAAATTGAGTCAAAAATGCTTAGTTAAAAAAGTCGAAAGTTGACTGAATAAAAAAATCACCCCAAGCATAAATATTCCGCACTTTTTTCGAAAGTCGGAACAATAAACCATGCTATCAGCTGGTTGCTCTACTCTTAAACTTTTTTGCTTAAGTCTGATCTACTTTTTTAAATATAAACTGCGGAATGCAACAATTTAAAAACATGCTTACTTTCAATCATATCACGGTTTAAAAATGAATAATTGTAAATATGTAACCAATTTTGCGTTGTGCGTTAACACTCAATGTTAAAATTCAATTGCTTTCTGTTGGTTGCCATGGTTTGCTTTTTTAGAAGTTAAACATTTTTATCGAAACATTCTGTGCTACTTGCATAGCAACCAATTCCTCATAGTTTGTTTTGAATTTCAGTGACGCACGCTCTGCTGGTCTCGTTTCTGGATCAATCGGACTATTCTGATCTCTATACTTGTTTCCCCCCTTTCCTCTCCATCTCCGGGGCCTTCTCTCTCGGTCCCTGTGGACTCTACCTTCTGCTGGGTGCGCTGCTGGCATTCTTTGTTCGCAACGCGACTGAAAACATGTCTTTGATGTTGGACGAGGAGGAAGTTATTCTGTACTTTGAATCGGCTCACAGAAATACTAACTTTCTGCTTATGCGTGAGTTATAACTATCAACAAATGAGTTTTTGACTTTTCAATTAATATAATAACTTTGCCAAGTGATTATGCTTTTTCGTTTTTCGAAAATTTGAATTATTTAAAATAAATTTTGTTTGTTCAAGGAAGCAAATTTTATTTATTTATTAGAAAAAAAACATTTAGAAATAGCGCTTCCACAAAACCTTTTTCGTCAAGCAAAACACGTTAAAAATGTTTTGTTTTGCAGTGTGCCCAGCTGTTTTTGGTTTCACCGTGTACGCATGGGACAAGGATAGCTTAATGTACCACGTGATTGAGGCAGCAGTAATTGCACTTTTCTCTGTTATTCTCTACTGGATGATGGTACTCGCCCCACCCGAGATCAAAGAGGCCTTCGTGAGTCACAACCAGATAGAAATGCCAGAAGTGAAGAAGAAAAAGCGAAAGTCGCCAAGTGCCCATTATAAACCTCAGACAGGTGCGCTTAGATTTAATTATAATCATAATCATAATATTTTTTTAATTCCAGAAATTTATAAGTAAACATTGTTTAAAATTGTAAGTTTATAATTTAGTTCAGCTCGCGAGAAAACCAAAAACTTAGTTCGGCTTGGGAGAAAATCCATCAATACATTTTTTCTTGACGATTTTTTATTGACGACTTTTTATTGACGATTTTTTATCCACTCAATGTTAGTTCGAAATAATCGGAGTTTTGTCGACCGAATTCATTTTCTGATGTCTTCTAAATTAGTATAAAAATCTACTATTCAAAAACGGCCGAAAAGCCAAAAAGGTTTGAAAAAACAGACCATATACGCCAAGAATGCCAAAAAGTTCGTGAAAAAACAGGTCAAAACACCGGCAAAGGGCATTTTTTGGAAAAAAAATTTCCTCGCGCACGCTCCCCTTAAAACAGTTATACACATGGTGCCAAAAACGCCTTTTGGGGTCAGACGGCCAACCGCAAGTTGATGCCGCGAAATAGTACCAAAAACCTTTTTGAAGAACATTTTGATAAAAAAAATTTCGGCCTCTGGGTGACGAGGGGTTCGAATTCCTGAGGAAGCGCGTCTGGAATAAATTTAAAATAATAAATTGAATATAAGTATCCTTCTATCTTTATTTGATGTTGAGAATGGTCCATAATTTTTGGCGCACTTGACAGTTTTCGATCTCGGTAAAGACATTAATCCGTGTTAATGCATTTTTGGCTTATCTTATTGAGTGCCATGCATAACCGCCATTCATAGTAGTATATCAGGTCAATTAAATGTATAAAAGTTTTTTTATGTATTCCAAATAATTTTTTAAAATGTTTTCCTTTTCAGTCAGTTTTATGCTTCTCGCAATTGCTTGAATAAAAATACCATTAAAAGCACGCGAAAAAACGCTTGATTAGTGGCATCGCATAATAAATAAGAAAGAAAAATATGAATGTTTATTTTTCATTCAGAATAACTTAAAATTACTGCTCATACAAAATCAAAAGTTAAGTAAATTTCACAAGCTCAAATTAATCAATTTGAATACCTTTTGTTAAGCGAGGGGGGGATATTCGATTAGATCGGAAAAGACTTTCGTACAACTCGCTCGAGAAAATTAAATTAAACATCCATGAATACTTTGTAAGGCTTTGTTGGTCCAAGGCAGTTAATTTTTGTTTTTAGGTGAAGATTTGAAAAACTCCGAGACGATTGATCGCAATGAATCGCCGATGTCCAACTTCTCAATCGGTTCCAACTTTTTCGGAGCCGGCTCAGACACAACTGGTGCCTCGAGCATATGCAGTGAGCCCATAACTCAAGGCACTCCAGAGTCAAACCACCCAGAGGTCAACGCGGGTCACCAGAACAGTAATATTCATTCTCCCGAGAGCAGCAGCAGCCATTGGTAGTCCCAAAACTGAGCCAAATATACTCATTCACCAAAATTCATTCTCAACTATTATTCAACTGCGACAATTTGTTTAATACAAAACATGTGGGCATTTTAAAACTGAGATTACAGTCGACCAGAATTAAATCTTAAATTTTCATTTTTTCCCAGTGAATTGCTATATTTCTTATTAAGAACCCTCGCCTCAAGTGAATGAGAATACCCAACAAACGATTTTCAAGTTTTTTTAGGCATTTCACAATTTGCAACAAGGACTGCCGGTATACAAGAGCCACAGTACTTTGCAACCATGTACAAAAAAGGTTTGTCCGAACTAAAGTCATCGTTTATACGCGGCGTAATGAGAAAATTATACAAACGTGTAGAAAAATAGTGAATTAGGCATAATCGACTTAATATGTCCAAAAAAATGAAATTAAGAAAAAAAAATGAAAAAAAAAAATCATCAAGATTTTTGGAGTTTTTTTTGCCTAGGCAGCGCTAAATTGAAAAAAATTTGGAAACAAGGAAACGCTAAAGATTTTTCATTTAGTAAAATCAAGTTTTTACACGATCGCTTCTTTACTCTCATGAAATTAGACAAACTCTTTTTGGAAAATTTTGAAATGTCCTTCTAGTCACGGCTGAAAGCGCTTCAATATGAAATATCAGTCGAATTCCAATGATTATCTGTGGTTCGTGATTTTGCTTGGAAAACAAAACAACAAAAAGACATCCGAATACAAAATTCCTCGGAACAATAATATGCGAAGTTTTCTGAAACTGCTTTGATCGATATTTCAAAATCTGTCAGATTTTATTGGTTAAGCTTGTTTTTGTGAGCTTTGATTAATGTTTTTGAAAAGTTTTTTGTTTATAATCACCAATGAAAAATTAAATTTAGGGTTGATCTAAAAAATTATCAACGGATATAAATATATAACGAACGCTTAAATTATTTGGGTAATTCTTCGCTGATAAAGCGTTTATTAGTGCAGATGGATATTTGCTGATAAAAGCTTATTTTGACAAATAGCTTCTTTTAATGATAAAAATAATCCTATATCGAACACTAGTTTGAGGGAGGGGGGCGAAGGGTGGACGCTTACTTCCCTCAGAGATTTGACCCCCTGCCCACCCAAAGGGTCCCATTGTACTAATTTTAGATATCTATTTTTGGCTAACTGACCCTAAAATTTTTCTGAATTTTGAAAGGGAAGCGCGCGCTGATAAAACGCGATTTCTTGGGCAAAATTTTCTAAAAAGTGCCTAAAAAGGCCTTTTTTGGCCGGCACAGAAAATTTGTTCAAATAGGGGTTTTTATGGTGATTTGAGAGGACTCAAAGTTTCAATTTTGTCGCTTTATAAAAAACCGTCGACAAAAGTCCGACCCCCCCCCTCGAAAAAATTCTAGATCCGCCCCTGCCTATGTCAAAAGATCTTCATAAAACTAGACAGCTCTCTTTTTCTTTCCCCCCACCTCGCACGAGCATAAATTTTATGGTCTAACGATTGGTTTTACTAAGTTGATTATGAAGACCAAATATGTTTGTCATGGCTTAACTAGTCAGCATCTCAATCAGACAATGTGAACAGTAATGTTAATCATAAAAACTTGCAGGTGGGGTGGAAAAGGAACAAGAGCCAAATACACATCAATAAAAACATTGAAAAATAATTAGAGGTGGATTTCGCGCGAAGGAGGAGAGATACCATCCTCTCAAAAAATTGACGCCTTGATATATAAGCCCCTCCCCCTTTAATTCTAGCTTACGTCTTCGTCAACCAAAAAAGGGAACTGATAAAGTGAAGCAGCAAATGTACGATCAAAACCAAAAGAAAATGTAATTTTATCATTTTAATTCTGCTGTTGACATTTTATTTAGCTTTGATAGCCTCTCGCCTCGAAGATTTCGAGTGGAAAAAGCATTTAAGTGATAAAAAATGTCCACAATTTGATTTTAAGTAATTAAGTTGCATAATTGTTCAAATCCCCACAAAATGCTGCTGTTTCAATTATCAGTTGTCCCCTTTGCGCTTTTTGCGCCTTGTGTATTAGAAAAAAGAGCCATTGACCCAAGTAAATTTCAGTTTTTCTACGACAATCATTTCAAAATTTCTAACTCATTTTATGAATGTTTTACAAGAATTAGACATTTTAGAAATTAAAACACGTTTTTCATTGATAAAGTTCACTCATAAATTTAGGTTTTTTATTAAAAAAAGTTGTTTTTCGATGATTTTTTCAAACTATTATTTATTTGCTCCAAAAGAATATCTTTTTTTTTGCCTTCAAACATTATTCATCAACTTATTAAATATCGAAAAGTGGATGCAGCATTGTTATGATGAGCTATTTTGATGCATCAGCGATCTATTTCAGAGTGAATTTCTAAATTTTCAGAATCATAGAGCATTTGTTTTTACTTCAAAATTCAATTTTAAAATTATGAATTTTTTAAAGTGAAGTTCTTTTTCAGCTTTTTTGCTCCGGGAATAACGAAAAATTTGTGCTCGGGGTGGGTTTTTTTTCTTCAGCAAACTTCGACTTTTTAACTAGCCATTTTGACGGAATTTTATTCATATCTTTCCAAAGCTATTGTTGTCCTAAGCTTAAAATTGAAAAAATATATCACCTGTGATCAATTTTTGTAAAGTTATGGGGCTTTAAAGATTGCCATATTGGCCAATTTTGTACAATTAACGCGTGATATATTTCGCGCTATCAACGCGTAAGCGCAGATTTAATCCGTCTTAGAAATCGTTCCAAATTTGTTGCAACGCAATTATAAAACAAGAGTATTAATGCTATAAAAATAAGACCAGATGGCCAAGCGGACTAAGACAACGTGACATGACAGTTGACGTAGGTTTGAAGCCCCACCTGCGCAAGTATAATTATACTAAAAAAGGGGGTTATATCCTATTTTAACTGTGATTTTCCAAAATATGGCCGCTCTAATCTCCAAACGAAAATAATTTAATCCAAATTCGTAAATTAATAAGAGATATATCTCGGTAAATAACTCTCAGGCAATAGATAAATTTCGGCATTTTCTATCGATCATAAAATCATATAACTTTTCATCATCAGCTCGTGTTTGGTACAAATTGACGCAAGCTAGCCGCAAGAACCGGTCGGTAATGTCCTTGAGACAAATTGCTCTTTGTGGCGGTCAGCCTTAATCAAAGCTGAACCGAATTAGAACCAAAAAACAGTTAAAATAGGAATTAACCCCCTTTTTTAGTATATTAATACATATTGGTTGTCAGCAGAGGCGTGGATCGTCCTCTCGATAAGGCAATAACTCAACTAACCGTCTTGAGTTTCGTCTCTTCTGTGTTTGACCCTGTTGGGTTAGTAGCTCCATACACAGTTAGGGCCCGTCTTTTGCTTTAAGATATTTGGAAAATAAGTGGCCAAAGTTGGGACGATGAATTGCCGGAAGATATAAGAGATAAATTTCTCGAGTGGCACTCCTGTTTCCCTCTCTTAGGGCAATTGACTATTCCCCGTTGTTACTTCACAGAGCCTGTGGATCAAATTGAGCTCCACATGTTCGGTGATAGCTCGCAGGACGTTTTCTGTGCGATTGGATTTTTGCGTGCGCAACTCTCGAGTTCGCACAAAAGCTCGCAGAACTTTTTCTGTGCGGCTGGAATTTTGCGTGCGCGACTCTCGAGTTCGCACATCTTTGGTAAAGCTCACGTTGCGCCCATGAAAGCGCTATTTATACCGAAGCTAGAGCTTCAAGCTGCTCTGCTCGCCACACGACTGAAAGATGATATACTGACCGGCCTTACTGTCTTCATTAACCATGTCTATATGTGGACAGATAGCACAACAGTTTTGCAGTGGCTAAACTCCACTGTAAAATTACCTGTATTCGTCGCTAACCGTGTCGGCGAAATCCTCGAATCGACCACTATTGATGAGTGGCACCATGTTCTGAGCGGCGATAATCCAGCTGATACCGGTACGCGGGGAATTTCTTCAGAAGCCCTCAAGGATAGCAGCTGGGTTATTGGTCCGAGCATTCTCAGGACTACTGATTGGCCGATTATTCCCGACGAACGTGTAATCAATAAAATTCGTTTGAAGAGTCCTTCTTGTGATGTTGATAATTGGTTGGAGACATCATCTTCCTTCGTCATCGATGTCACATCCATCAAACATCCCGAACACGGGTTCAAATGCGAAAGGTTCAGTTCCTTTACGAGATATAAATGAGTAGTCGCTTTTATGTTGAGGATGCTGCCTTCACATAAGCATTTTCGTGGTAAAGACTTACGAATCACCGATCCCACTGAACTTGATATTGCAGAAAGGAAACTGATTCATCTTGCTCAGATGGAATCCTTCCCCGTTGAGTTAAAAACACTCACCGCTGGCAAACCTATCAAGAATAGTAGTAAAACTGCCACATACTCGCCATTTATAGGTCCCGCTGGTCTCATTCGTTCCACCGGACGGATCGTGCGCTTGGTGATTACCAAGTTTGATGCTAAGCACCCAATATTACTCGACGCCCGACATACCTTTGTTCGTTTGTTGGCCCGCAGCCTTTACTACAAGCATTTTCATCAAGGTTTAGATTACACGCGCTCCGTTTTAAATATGAAATATGCAATACTTGGGTTGCGTCGACTACTTCGGTCTATCAAAAATCAATGTGTAACATGCCGTAAACGCAAAGCAAGTACCATCCAGCCTATTATGTCCAATTTACCTGTCGAACGTCTCGGATACAAGCAACCGCCCTTTAATCATACGGGTGTGGATTACTTTGGACCGCTTTACGTTCCGGCTCGCAGAAGCACTGAAAAAAGATGGGGATTCCTTTTTACTTGCCTCACCACCAGGGCTGTACACCTTGAGATTGTACCATCTCTGGACACTAGTTCTTGTGTCATGGGCACTGAACGGTTCATTGCGCATCGGGGTACACCAAGCACGATCTGGTCGGATAACGGCACGAACTTCGTTGGTGCGGAAAAGGAACTACTTGCCTGCATCAAGAGCTGGAATGGCATGGCTCCAACCATTTTTGCACACAAAGG